GAGTTATGAATTTGCGGCTCAAAATTTCTATCGCGCACGTCCTTCCCCCTGTGGGCGAGGTCTGGTCCTGCCACCCACCATAAGTGTTCACATCCTGCCCCCGTACTCCTGCTAAGTTTGAACACTTTAGGTCCACAGGGATTATAAATTTCAGGTCAGACACATACACACAAACACACACACACACAAACACACCGACAAACCAACAGACACACTTAGCGAATTATTTATAGTAGGATAGTAGGATGCTCGCTGCCATGACCCCCAATTTCAAATTCTTCACCTATGTCAAAGCCTTGAATCCTGGCGTGTTTGAGCAGACCGGCTCGAAGTATGGAGATTATCGAGCCTTTATCTATCAAGCTCTAACTTCGGGTCCAAAGATCTTTGCATCGTTTCTCTCCACCTTATTGGGCCTAAATCTGGTGTCTTGCGGATGCAAACTAGCCACACAATTCCTGCACGCAAGTGGAGAATGATTCTCAGGAGCATAATCGTCCTTCCTTTCCTCATTTATCCATAGCCTTTTCTAGTAGAGTTATGAGCTTTAGGAGTGAATTCATTCAAACGGAAGCGCTATAGTGACCGTTTTCGCCACAGTTATAACATATTCGCATCGCTTAACATCATAAGTAGAGGTTGTCGCCTTCTGAGCGATTATCTTCCTCTCGAAACTCTCCTCCTTCCTATCCTCCCCAACTTTCACAAGATTCAGAAGAATTTCAATATTCTCTTCAAGATACGCAGGTTTGTCGTAGTGTTGATGACTCCGCCTCGAGTTTACGCGCTCTAATCTCGCAGCGGCGCTTCCGACGGACTTCTTATCGCATGCGAAGGGTTGTTTTTTTGTTGTATTTTATTGTTCCAAGTTTACTTTTTAATGCATGCTCTTCTAGATTCGTTTCTTAAGTTTTTCAGAGCTCCACTGGAGCTGCAGATCTTTCGCGATGTCAGCGCGTAACGCTATGGCGGCGATGCTGGACGAATTAATGGGGCCAAAGCGGAATGTCGAATTAGGAAAGGACACCACTGTCACATTTGATGTAAGGATTGTGTAACTTTGTGGACTTTGTTTAGCTCTACAGAAGTAGGGTTGCCACTGCCACATTAGTCACTGCCGTCTCTTCAAAGCAGAACGTGTAATTATGTTGTGGAGGTCTTGTGCATATTGGTTGCTATTTCCGAGATTTGGTGTGTAAGATTCGCGTGAAAAGGCGCAACAATTGTTCATGAGTATCTGCAGATTCTTGCACCACCGCTTGCGGTAGTACAGCACTTCGTCCTTATCCATTTTATCGGGAATAATGCTGCACGGACAAAATTCAATGTTATATTCAAAATATTTCACTGGATTGTTTCAGTGGTGCATTTTATCTTATTTTTCATGCCGATTATATAACACGAAGTTTCAGGATCCCGACATTTGCAAGTATTACATAGTAGGATTCTGTCCGCACGATATGTTCGTCAATACCAAAGCTGACCTTGGTTCGTTTAGTTATTTTCTGGAAGAAAAGTTTACGAATTTCATTGTCTTCTTTTCAATGAACGTTGTGTTTTCCTATACTTTCCCGCTAGAGTATTTTCATGCTAGAAAGTTAAGATTTGGGTTGATCGAGGTCCCAAAGCGATTCTTCAGTTGATAAGAGGGAGAAATGGGTGCAGGGTTCAACTTCGTTCCCTTCCCTTTGAATTATGTCTTCTCTTTCAAAATACTATTTTGTCAATGATGCTTATTGTAGAAAACAATGGTTCGCATTTTCATAATATATCTTTCATCTAGGAGCACTGTACCCAATCGACATTTGAGGTGTAGATAGTTTAAGCAATGATTTGAGCAATGAGGGGTACAACCGGGCCCCAGATTTAACTTGAAAGAATATCTACCTGATATAGAGAGATTTTAATGTATTCGTGTTGCTAGTGCTCATATTATATCAAGGAAAACTAAAATTTTGTGTAAGATTTCTGTCAGAGCTCAAAAGTGAAGCTAGAAAAAAGGATGCAAAGATTTGAAAAACAACTGAGTTCAGAAAAAAACAGCAGAACAAAAGAAAGCTGATGTATACAACAGATGCATGACTGATGACTATGACTAGACTAAGTGAGCTACGCACGCTAAGCATCCATCCCAACTCCCCTATGTCTTGTCTACGATCTTACTTTGATACTATATTATTTTACCCGAAATTCCGCTCAGGCTTCATTTCTGATAACCACGAGTGAAGTACCAAAGAATGGATTTTTTAAATTTTTTTCTAAGTGGGTAGTTACCGTGAGCTTTTTGAAATTTCGCTTAATTCAACTATAGGAAATCGCGCTCCAGAGATGTAAAGGAAACGGTCAGGAGAACGTATGATGGTGCCTGAGCCAGTGTAAGTTCCCGCTTACTACCTTCTCTCATTTCTTAAGGTTTAATCGCCCTGTGGCTGGAAAGTACCAAATGAGTTCATCTTTCGAGAAAAATTTCAATTCCCTTTCAATGTTGGCACAATATGAATCGTTATCGGTTAGGGGACTTACATAGGCATCAATAGAGTTCTTATTTCATAACATCTCTTCGCACATTTTGCTTTTCAATTTCATTTTTTCTTCCCAACAGTTAACAGTTGGCAAATATACAGTGTCGCCAAAATTACTTGCTCAAACATTCACCGCTGTAAAATCGGTTGAACAATAGATTGAAGACAAATTTTTCTCAACACTTTATTTATATTAAGTTGTAGCCATTACACAGAGTCGATTCAAATCTTTAAAATCCCTGCACGGGCTCGGACAAAGGCCCTCANATGTAAGGGGAAGCGTCCACTTTGGCGCGAAGGTACTCCAAAGGTATTTCTTCCCATGCTCTGAGCACGTCCCTTTTCAGCGAATCAGTTGAGTGGTGTTGCTTAGAGCAAGCCTTGTTCTCCAATGGCGACCATACGGAATAATCCAGATCAGGGCTATTAGATGGCCATTCCTGAGTAATGATAAATCCTGGGAGGGCGTCTCGGCACCACTGCTGGGTCACCCTCAGTCGGTGCTGAATCTTGCTGGAACACGAACGGTCTAGAGCCGAAGTGAATTTCGTCCACGGAAGCTAGATGTTTTTCAGCACGCTTTCCAAGTAGGCTTTCGTATTGATTTTAACATCGTTGTCGATGAAACCAGCAGGGACTTCGCTTCGTAGGTGATCGTTCCCAATTCATGATTTTTTTTTGCATGTCCAGAGCGTCCATGAATTCTTCCCTTCTCCTTAGCTTCTTCAGCTTTCGAGCTGAGCACCCGATCGTTTTGATGGTTGCAGGTCGACTCCAACATAAACAGCTTATTATCGAAGAAGACAAGTCTCGGTGGGCGCCGAGGCGAACAAGTGAAGGAGCATCTTGCACTTCTAGATTCGGTTTTTTTCATGAATGCAGTGAGAAGGTGCACCTTTCGGCATTATAAGGTGTCAATCCCAACGTCTCTTTGACTATACGGCGAACGGAACTATGACTTATTCCCAGCTTTCTGGCAGTCTTCCTCATCGACCTCTTCGGACTGCGCCGCACCATATCCCGTAAACCTTAAACTTTTTCATGGAAGTTGCAGTTGTGTTTCTTCCCTTTCTGGGTGGTCTTCTGTAGTACCGAGCTGTTTGATGTTCAACTTCACAATTCTTCTGCTGAGTGATAGAGTTTTTGGGATGGCAGCGAGCTATCTGGTGTAACTTAATAATCGCGGGTCTGAGTGGATGAGGTCCAACCATTTTGAAAGGAGTAACAGCTGAGCATCGAAACTTGTGTTCTTATAAAAGAAGTGCCTAACATGTTCGCGGCTAATCGATAGATCATCGCTGCATTATATCAATAGATCGAACTCTGCAACTCTGATCAAGCAATTTTGGCGCACCCTGTATGCACCGTCATTATCGACAAGGTGTTGCCGTTTATCCGGCCTTGTGGATGCCGCTTGCGCAGAATTCCTTAGGTTTCGAGGAGAAGGACTAGCCGATGCACGTCTCAGGTTGGTACGCACAACGGAGCTTCTCATATTTGGAAGGATTTGAGAGCGTCTGGAATAGGTGATACTCTGTTGGAGTGTGTTCTGCTGAATAGCGAGAGTGGGTTAGAACAGGCCAATTTGAGCTGTGCAGTTACTACTGGGTCTCTTTCACAATATGTGGTCGAGCACTGTGGTGGAGGAAATAGATCTCGCGTTTCTCTCATAGAGGTAGGCTTCGGCGTTGTAAGCGGAGTTTGGTTGCAACAAGTTCCAGTGGGTGATTTTTTCGAATGCCGTCAAACGCGAAGCATTGCCTTCGTAGGTTGCAGTATTGGTTTTGGGGTCGGGATGACATGCTCTACGCGGTGGCGCTTCCCCTTGTGGTTTATGTAGAGAACACACTTCTCGTCGCAGGCGATTAATTCTTCTAGCCATTAACACTGCAAGCTCTGGCTGATCTTTAATAAATTCCAAAGTTTCTTATTAGAACAATCTAATTGGCAAACGCGATAATCATCACTGCAGTGCTGAGTGCTTCGTTACAGTAGGAATAGGCGAGAAAAATTTCTAATTAATGAATCGTCATAGGGATTGGTGCAGGTAAAACGAAAGTGGTGATGTCCAGGTTGCGATAGGTGTTGCGATTTTTTACGAAACTAGTACTATGTTCTTCGATGTCGGTCTTTGCACTATCGGCATTTTTTAACTAGTATTTTTCCTTCACAGTATATAACAAAAAATATACGCACTATCACCAAAGTATTGCCATTTATCAGGCAACTTGTGGATACCTCCTGCACAGAATTCCTTAGATTTCGGGAAAGGAGAACTCGCTCATGCTCGTCTCACGTTGGTTCACAAAATCGAATTTGTTTTTCTAGTGATCAAAGCAACAGGAACAGGCGATAATCAGTTGAAGCCAGGTCTTGTGAATAAGGTGGGTGGGTCAAAACATACCATCCCAAAAATTGGAGTTGCTTCTTTCTGCGTTACCTTCGCAATGTGTGACTTTCCGGTGTTGCTTTGGTTGAGCAAAAGAGGTACAGCAACATGATTCGGCTGAGCACAGTGAACTTTGGCAGTTACAGTGAAGTTTGGTGGCAGCACTCCTGGTGAACGATCCTTCTCGAATTTTACCAAACGCTGATACATACATAAACGCGCGCTCCCCGCGCGTCGCGTGATTTACGTAGAGATTCCACTTCTCGTCAGCGAGATTGAGTCGTTCAGCCACGCTAAGTTGAGTCGGAATATGTATGTATGTATGTATGTATGTATGTATGTATGTAT